AACTGCTCACAATAAATTAAATGAATAATGAAAGGGAAGGCAGTCAGAGGCTGTGGGAAGGTCAGAATAAGTAGTGTTAAAGTAGCATTTTTTACCAACACACAACACTTACACACAACCAATGCTCTGCTCAATATTTCAGGCATAACACATTAGTTTGATGGAAATGTATGGCTTAAAAAAATTATCTGAAATGAGAGACTGCTGCCTAACAGGTGCGTTCTCTTTAACATCACTTTATAGTTTGGAAGTTGCAGCAATTATTCTGCAGCTTGGGCCCAGTGAAAAAGGAAAAAAAGCCACCTGGGGTGCAGTAAGGGCAGACCAGTGGAGACAGTAATATTAAAAGACTGAAGGATGCTGTTAATTATCCCATAGGTGTCTGCATGTCCATGTGCACCGACCCCTCTTTCTACCTATGGAGTAATGAAAGCAGAAGTCAGTGTGCCAGTGTCCTGATAGCGCCCCTCTGTTACAGGATAGTAGCTCTGCTCTCGCCCTGAGCAAGGATCTCTTTATTCCGCTTGGATCCTCCTCTCATTGCAGCCAGCTGCTGCCCTACTTGAGTTTCTCATTCTGTGCCTACGATTGCCCCCTCTGCTTAAAGCCTGTGCCACTTTGCTTAGAGGGCTATTTGAATCCATTCCACCTTGAATAATTGTGCAGGTCAAAGCCCTGTGTGGAGGCGCACAGTTTGAAAATGGCTCGACATGCTGGTTTGACTTCAGTTTCAAGCATTTGAGTATATTGGTTCATTTAGAAATGCTGCATATGGCAGATAGGGTCTTGGTCTGGATATAAATTACATACATTGATTTTTCCTTTTTTGCAAAGTATTTCTCAGTCAGCTCGTGAATAAGCTGTCTTTTTAGTATTCAGTTTGGGCACCTCATGCAGTAATTGAACCTGTTACATTAGCATGGGCCATTTAACATTACTCAAGCAGGCATGCAACTCATAGCAGGCAGAGGAGAGAACGTTGAAAAAGGTGGTGCACTGTTTTTATCATAAATACCATCGATGGGAACATAGAAAGTGTGCAGGTGAAACATGAGCCTAATTATGAATTCTACAGCAGGCAGCAGATTCAGTTGAACATTCTGTAAGACGTCAAGACGACCCTCATTAAAGCCTTCTTGCCATTATCATTAGCTAGGTGAATATGTGTAGCTGGTAATAGATGTGGCTCCGTGCTCGTTAGGCGACCTAGTGTCCATTCGTCAGGATTTAACGGGTAGCTGTGTTCATTAAGAGCAGATAAGCTCCAGAAAAAAGGTTAACCGATAGTGCAGAGGTTATCCCCTTCACATATCCGTCTTAGGTGTTGAGTGGGTGGCAAATCTGAGACAACTTTGTGTGTGTGTGTGAGTAGTTTCTCTTCTCTTTCACTCATTGTTAACATTTGTAACATGTTTATGAGCGGTTGCTGAGAGATACACTGGGATTTACTGTGACAAGACAAGCCGTGAGTCAGACATCCAATGTAGTACAGAGAGCAAGAACAGGCAGGGACAGACAGGAAGTGCAGTCATGAAGAAACATTCTTTGCAGTCCCTTTAGACCTTTACTGTCCAAACCTGATGCAGTGACAGAGACATAAGAGCTCCTCTCTCCTGTATAATCAGCCCCTCTGGCCACTTTCTGTCTGAAATTTCTAATTTTGTGCTCGTCAGAGTTTGCGCCTTCAATTGTATCTGCCCTCTTCCCATCTCATGCAATCCGCTTCTATATTCATCAGCAGAAGGGCCAGGCTAATGTTGTTGTTCTGGTACCTTCTAACAACATGACATTTCCCTCGCAGACATCTGTGTGGACACAGATATGACCACAGTGGACAACATGTGTCTATGTTTTTCAGTCTGAGCAATATGTATGTGTGTATTTTGTTGCGTGTTGTGCTGAGAGGAAAAGAAAAAGGGCAAGGTTCAGCGAAATTCAATAGCTATGCTGCTAGTAAATGACCTTTACAATAAATACATTCCTTTTTTCAGGCCAGAGAAGGATAAGCAATTCATCCAGTCAGTCGCAATGAAGCAAACTTAAACTTTAAGTTAAAGTTTAACTTTAAGTTTACTTCTACCCTGCAGGTAAACATGAACTCAGGGCACCGGAAACAATTTCTGTGCAGCCGGGCCTGAACACAATGTGCACGCGCGCACATCTACACATACACGATGCTACTCTGTGGACCAAAATAATGTAAAACCTTCCATTTCTTGGGCTGGTAAGCTATAGGGCCTGGTTTCTAATACGGGTTGCCACTCAAAATTGGCACATGCTTTGTCCTGGTTGGACTCCAGGGACAGGAAAAGTGCACTTCCATAACCCTCGGTCTAAGCATGATAAATTTGGTTTCAAGATTCTTGTTTGAATTTCTTAGAGCTGATAGATTGCAAAGATAGAGGAAATACTCTAGTGGGCTGAGTTAAATTTCAGATTAGGATTGACAGTAGGTAAGAATTGTGTACATAATAGACAATTATCCCATTTGGTAATTAAATCGAAACCTTTAAATCTGGTGGGCTATGTTTTTAATCATATTGTTTGTGGAAAAATTGCTGCTGCTATTGTTTTAACGAATAACCAATGCAAAATAAGTTATTTTCAAAATTTAGTAAAAGTGAGCTAAAATCAAACATTCATGTATGTATGTATGTAAACACACACACCCACACATTCACATACATTTACATAAATGTTTACATAAGATGTTATGTTTGGTTGGAAGCAATATCTAAGATGCCAGCTGGTTAGGCACAGGTTAACCAATGTGCCAAAATATGTATACGCTTTTATACGAGTCACACATACTGTAGAGTTTTGGAGAATTTACATGATATTATGACAAAATAGGGGGTGACTAGCATTGGCATAAGAAATTCATTTTTTGTTCATGTAAAAAATAAATGGGTTTTGAGTTTTTATTAGTTTTGTCAGTAACTGAGATAACTGAGCACTGGTACTAAACTAAAGTCAAAGAAATAAACCCTGTACAGTAAACTAGTGGTAAATTGCCTTGGTACAGTCTTATGCAATGTTGGACTGCCAAATAATTGTCACTCTTACATAATTTCTATCACTTGCTTTAGCTTTTAAGTTCATGCTAGATCTACTTTCCCAAAACTTCCTAAGAACAACTTAATCACAAAAAAAGAGAGCTTAGTTTCACAGTTGTTTTGTTCACATGTAGCAGCTTAGTTCATCATTGACTCAGCCACTTTGGGGAGCTGCACCGACCACTTGCTGGTATTTTGTGTTCCTCTCGCATCATTTCTCTGAAGACTGTTTCAGCACGATATGGATCAGTGAGTGTGAAAGTGTCCCTAAAATGATTCACACGGTAGGTTGAGCTGACTTTATTTAGAGATTGAGGGAGAAAAGGACATCTGTGAGGATGAGAGTACTTTATTAGAGCAGACTTTGGCATTGTAATTTATTCTCGCTCTTGCCAATGGCTGGCTCCAGTTGACGTGAAAATGTTTCGTGCTATTTGTAAAACCTTTACCAGCCATTATTTCTCCCACTCGCTTTATCTCGGCACAGACACCAAGTGAAGTGGGGTGGAATGGTCGTGGTTGGCCATGTTTGGGCCATTCTTAGAAAATGTCATTAAATTGTCCAAAAGTGGCATCAGGAACCTATTTCTGGCTGTTAACAGGGTGGATGCTGGCTGGTGTTTGCATCCAGCCCTCAGAACGGCTGTTAGGGGTTTGAGGAATGCCATTACTGGTCACACTAATGTCTGAAGTGAGTACACAAAAGTCATTGTAATTATCACCTCCTTCCTGTCTTTACAGGGCTGGACGTGTTGGACAGAGACAAGAGACCTATCACATTATATTACTGTCTGGCCTGTCGTGGCGTAGAAGGAGTTTGACGACTAAGACACATAACAGACGCTATTTAAAAAGTGTGTGCGTTTGCATGTGTGCCACTGTGTGTGTGTGTGTGTGTGTGTGTGTGCTCGTATAAATTCAATTTCCTCATAATTTCCCCATCACGACAGCAGAGATTCCAATTACTTATTCATGACATTTAATGGAAGCAATCTATCTAACTCTTAAGTGGGTAAAAAATGGCTGTTGAGGATTGTTACAGGAATGCATAAAGCTTCCAAGCTTTTTACAAAGTCACTGCTGTATTAGACCCATCTTGTTATGCTTACTTATAGGTCTGCTAGTTTTTATGTTGTGTTGTTTATTTTTTAACGCTTCAAACTTTTAAGTAGGTAAGAAAGCTTCGAGTAGTTTGTTTGAGTGCACACAATTCATGGTGGCTTTTTGTTCACAATTACTTACAACCTGTTTTAGCAAGCCTTTTTATAACAGGCAGTGGCATTATCAACAAAAATGACAACAACAACAACAACTGCAGCTATTTTAGTTGCAAAACAGACTTTACACTGAATGGTCGCATAAAATAACAGAAATAAGTTTTTCTTGTTTTAGAGGATGAAAATGTCACAAGGACTGAATGTGCAAATGCATAGGGCATTATTTACCTTCAATAAAATGCAGTGCTTTTGTCCCATTAATAAATAGTAATAGTACTCTTTAATAGTAAAGAGTTTGCACAGTACAATACGAGTGTAAAGTATCGAGTATCTCTCTGTGCCAATTTAAAACACATGCTTATTAGAGCTGCTGAGTTCCTGTCAGTCAGCCTTAAATGTCTAGAAAATCTCAGGACACTGTAGCACAGTTGTCGATGGGCTCATGTGTTCTGTTTACTGCCACAGAAAAGAAATAAATCTCTTGTGAAGGCTTGTTAATAATTCCAGCAAAGAGCAAGGCTAAATTAGCTTAAAATCCAAGTTTTAATGACTGCTTTTCAGAGCCACATTTCTATAAAGGCAATAGGATAAAAGCCACTCAAAAATGATTAATAGAAAATACCACAAATTACTAAAACTATAGGCTTTAACTCACTGAACAACTCTCCTGCTTAGTGCAATTATTCTTGCACACCTGACGCATCTCTCTGCTGGTTTCATTTATTAGGTGGCTCATTGAAACAGAGTTTTTGAGGTGAGTACACACACATGCATGCACCTGCACTCACGTCTTGTCATAATGACTTCTACTGTTTTATTATTTCACCAGGCATGAGTTCAGAGGGGATCATGCATTTGGTTGTGTGTGTACTGTATCTGTCCACATCTAATCTCACTAGACCCATCAGCCTAATATCTTTTGTTTACATGTATTACTTTATGCTCTCGTGGTTGCTGTGATTCACTATTTTATTGATTGTTCTGTTTTATACCGCCATTGACTGTTGACTCCTCACTCTTCTTAACCGGCTGGTAGGTGCGCAGTCTTCACCATTTTGCCAAGAGTAAAAACAAGGTTTTCTGTTGCAGACTACATTTTGGCCTCAAAACCTGACAACAATTTTGTCTCAGCTTGAACCAGAGCATCTGCAGAGTTATCTCATACCCGATATGTTATTATTCACTAAATTAAACACAGCTGGGACACACTTGACCAAGATCTGCACTCTGAATTCAATCATCTAGTTTTGTCTGTGTTTAGCAATAAGTAGAAGTTTACGACTCAATAAAGGGTTTTTTGGATGTAGGTACTCTTTAAATTATTGGTTCGCTATCCAGCTGCCAGATGTATTAAGGCCAGTGAAATCATTACATTTTGTACCTTAAGTTATTACAATGTTTGGAATAGTAAAACAGTTTTCAGGCAAGAACATTATTTTGAATGATACTATGATTAAGGCCACTTCTCTTGGCCTCTTTTCATTGACACTGCATGCCAACTATGAGTAAAATACCTAATTATTAAATAAAGGACCATTGCAAAGATGCCTGCAAAGAAGAATGTAATTTGGATTGATTTTTTTTTATATGAAATAGTAGCCCAGGATCAACAAAGCCTGAAACTACTACCTTGCAGATAAATTGTTCATTATGGGAGAGAGCTGGGGGAATCCAAAAAGATACATACAGAAAAGGCAGTAAGTGGCAATGATGTATTTTGGCCCTCTCCCATGGAAGTAAATTGGATTGTTAAGGAAAGTCAGTGCCTTGGGCTCTCTCTCCAATCTACAAAGCTGCCACTGCCATCCACACTTGTATTGAGGCTCTCAGAAATGGATGATTTGTTATATTGTGGCTATCCAGATAATAGTTTGGAAACACTATCAACTAAACATCTTGATATATTGTTTTCCTATGGAAGTGGTGTGAAACAGAATTCCTCCTCAGATAGGAAAAAGAAAAGATGTTTTCTTTCCAGATAAATGTACCATTATGGTTGCTTCTTATCCTGTCCTTTGTTTTATCATCAGGTTTATTTAATATGAAATACAAAACAATGTCACATGCTTTTGTCTTGCTCCATTTTGACTATTGTGCTTTGGCTTGAGTGATGAAGTGCCTCAGGAAACTGAAACTGGTATGTGACTAAAGCCATCACATCTTTTCTTTTTGCAGAATGTTTAACCTTCCTCTGTATAAGTGGTTTTGCGTGTTCCTTGTGCATTCAGGTGTGAGATGGATAGAGTCTGGTTTCAGGGATAAACAGCATCAGAATACCATCATTTATACAGCCCACTAGCCTCAAGAGATCTCTGTTGCTGTGCAATGCTACAAAGCTAGGACTTACTGTGGTGGGATCTATTTGTGGTCTGTAACCAAGGGAGCTCCAAGGTACTTGTCTAAAGATGTAGATAAAGAATGTCACATAGCCATGATTACTGAAGCGACTGCAAACACACATACACATACACACACAAACACCACATAGAAAGAAAGAATTGAAACAATGTTCACATCAGCCAACCATGACAAGTCTGACAGGTAATCTTGGGAGAGCAAAGAAAAGGGCATTCAATATGTCTCTACCTTGAGACTTGGTGTGTGTAAATATGAAGATGAGAAATGGATTTGGTCACGTTGGTGTGTGATTTGGTCATGTTGGTGTGTGGAGGACCCAAAGACCTTGCTCAGTCTGGAGAACATCAACCTGCAATGAAAAATCCAAGGCAGGGAAGAGGATTTGCACATAACAAAGAATCTTGTGCTGCAAATGTTATACTAAAAAATAAACTCAATACTCACAATCCTAATAGTTTTATACTATAATATTTTTCATAAAAGCCTTCTAAATACTGTACATTTCATTTAGCTAATTTCAGATTGAACACCTCTGTAATTCCACCAACAGCAAAGTTAAACTCTCTTGGGAAAAATCTCATCTGGCAAATATTAAACAAGAAATGTTGCAACAGTTAAAAAAGACCGGAAAAAACACGGGTTTGCACAGAGACAATCTAAATATTGGCATCAGCTTATTACATAGTGCACCCAATGAGGGGGGACTTAATTATACTTTATAGAGTCTCCATGTCTCACATCCCAACCTTAATGCCAACATTTGATTGATTTTCTCTTCCGAATCAAAATCAATTCACTATTAATTTTTTTCTTGAGCAGACAGATGAAGCTGGAGTTAGCTGAGACCCATCTTCCACATGATTAAATAGTCACAATATGATATTATTATGAAGAATAGACCTCAGTGTGCAGCATATTTGCTCCCACACAAACAAGAACACTAATTTACCTGGTTAGAAAATGATGCAAGAGGAAAAACATTGCTATTATTTTCATCATTTTCCTCGGCCTTCAGCACTCCATACACACATAACCACAAACACACATGTGCACGTAAGCGTACAATCATAGCATACATCCACCCACTTGTGTGGTAAAGACCTACACCCACACTCACAGAGAAAGAGGAAAAATTCAACAATGACTAATTAGTTTACATCCTTCTGCTGGAGAGGAATGAGGCTTGTGGGGTGTGTGTGTAACATCAATTTATCTTTTCCCACTGAGATGGGCAGTGAGGAGGTCTGAGCCCATCACATTAGCATGAAATAGCTGTGGACAAAAACAACAAGACAAAGCAGCGGGTTCCCAGCTTCCCAGCACACACCACACACTGGGCTTAGTCCCGTGCTACTCCACAACTTGGCCGGATATCAAAAAGAGCACACTAAGACAGGGTTGTGCAGGTTTTTCACACCGCAGTATACACCAACGCTCTGCACAATGCACCATGTAAACACACGGGCAAAGACAGCACCTGAAGTGTACTTCACTCGGGAGTGGATCGGGGGGAAAAAGACGACAATTTGTGATTTAATGGTGGCTGGAAAGAGGGAAACTGGAGAGGTACTATAAGATAAAATGTGTGTTGTATTTTTGTATTTGTGTTATTTTTCTGACAGTGAACATATATATATGCATACACTTTATTCATTTATTTGCATTTATATCCGAGGCATTACAGAACAGATTAATTTTTCAGTAAAATACAGGACAGATTGCAAAGAACACCTAAAACCATTATATTTACACAGGAACATTTATTCAACAAAAGCTATCTTTTACATCCCAGAACATCAGGTGTCACCATGACAACCTGCTCTGACAGACCCTGTCATTGGCCGGATTAGCTCAGATCAGTGTTAGCTGCTGGTCAGAGTGAATTCAACCAGGCTTTCTGATACATTGTGCTGTCTTTTGTAAACAGTGGTTTGTGCAGTCTCAGACTGAGATAATCCTGTACATAGGGGGGGATTAGTCTAAATCAATAATGACCCCACACTGTGAGCATGTTATGGCAACTGGCATCTACCTCGGAGAGCTGTTCCAGTGCGTTCACCCAGGTTTTGTGTCGAAATCAAGGGGAAGAGCTTTCAGGATGCAGAGGTAAATCTGTGGATTACTGTGGAAAAAATGAGGTTACTTAACAGAAGACCACACTCTGTCTCAGATATCCCACCATTAAACACAACATGTAGTTTCACTTGTCTTCATTCACGAGTATCTCAACAATGAAAGCTATAATTAGGCTTTTAATGTGCCAGTAGAAAATGTCCAGCTAATGCATGCGGTCCAACTTTTTGTCAGGCATCCAGTGAAACAAAATACTCCCCTCATTTACTCAACACTAAGTCCTGTCGGCAAGTCGACATTCTCACACGTCAAGCCAACTAATCGATGAACATGTCAATCAAGATTGCTTCTTGTGCATGGCAGGAGTAGAAGTCCATATATGGAGGCTTTTTTTCTTACATGTGATGCAGCATCAACGCACTGCTCAATCACTCTTTGGCACTGGAAAGATGAACAAAGATAACATAAAGGAAGACTAGGGAAGCACAGAGAAGTTTCTTGGAGCTGATACAAGGACACCAACACAAATAACACCTACGTAGATAACTGCAAGAATTGAATGCTCTCACTTGTTATGATACTCAGCAGTGCACATATAAGATTGTTTCTATTATCTGAAGACAAAGCTAAATTTATAGGCCTAGTTTTAGTCAGTTGTTTTTTATTGTGTGATTATGTGATGCACGTTCTGTTTCTAGCTTTCGGCCAGAGCACTTTGGACTTGATTGGTTTGGTTTTGTGTTGGGTTTGTGCGGAAATTGGGCATAATTTCAGGAAATGAGCACTGCGAGCGGTTGTAAAGACATTTACAGGGCACACATTTAATAGCTACAGACTATCATAGAAACATTACACACACATTGCCATTTCCTTGGCTCACAGTGTGGAGGTTTGGAGCACTCTACCGCTTGTAAATTTTCCATCTGAATCACAGAAAGCAGCACATACTTTGTATGTAAGGATGTCCTTAAACAAACACACTGAGATCCTCTCTTTTGATTATGCATGGAAGAGAAAGCTGAAGCCAAGAGGAGCAAGTGAGAGCAGGAAAGAGAGGCAGCAGGAGAAAAGACAGGAAAGGAGGAAAGCAAAGGACTCTGCAAGAGAGTGAGAGAAATGTGGGAGAGGGATTAACACAATTTCAGCTGAAGATATGTGAGCCTGGAAGGTAGTGGAGGAAGGAGAAAAGGAGAGAGATTCATTAATGCAGGGGATGGATATGGACCATTAGGTGATTGCAGCAATGTTTCCCAATAAGACTCTCAGGGCCGGCTAATTCACCTGCAATCATTTACCCTACAGTACACAGGCACAAAGGCCGCATGGTAATCAGCATGCAGCGGAAATAAGACGGTCTCTCTGCTGAATACATGCAGAAACACATGCGTGCACACAGAGATTACATAGTGCAGACACTTTCTCTTTTTCTGTCTCTCGCACAAACTCACTCTCACGCTGTCTCAAGGTCATTAACAATTTTTGTTTCCTTCCTGCTGTACTATTGGTGTTTCTTCCACGTGTTGGGATAATTAACAATTAACCTTTAATCGACAATGCTTGTCAGAGATCACACTTAACATGTCCATTAGTTTCATGTCAGTGCACAGTTGATATTAGCGGCCAGCACACACTTAATAATTCACATAATCCAAAGCACACAAATCTGACCTTCTAGCTATTGAACAGATGATTAACCTTTATGCTCATTTAGCCTCTGGTTCGCTTCATTACTTGATGAAATTTTAATTACAAAGCTGAAATCATGTTCCGAGAGCCCTCCCTAGAAATCCATATCTAAGCTCTCCCTTGAATACTATCAGCTAATGTGCAAATTGAATCCATTCACACGTTTGGCTTAGTTTGCTACTAGCAACAAAGAAAGTTTAGCCGGAGTTAAAATGAGGTTTAAGAATTTGTCAGTTCAAACTTTTGTCTGAAAAATCTCCTGGCGCCCAAAAACATGTCAAGCAAACGTCTTGGCTGTCAGTATTTGTCATTTTTAAAATTCCCAATGCCAAAAGTTGTGCATTGTGATTGTTCAGTCGCACCAGGAGCCCATATTAAATGGTTATTTAAAGATGCAAAGCTTGACAAGGAACTCTCCCAAGCAGATGTTGTTTTCAATAGTTAATGGAAAGACTGAATACATATCTCCCAGAAAAGAAACTCACCAAACCCCAAAGCTATAGATTTGCAATACACCTAAACAAAGCTCTGCGTCACATCAAAGCTCACACCATAAGCTAATGCTACTACATTCACGTTTGTATTAATCCAAGTAAAAATACAAACATGCACACACTCACAGCAGGGCATACTGTAAATGCATGCACACAGGGGCACACTGCTGATCATGGGGTAGTAAACAGGTTTTCGTTATTTTTAGATGTCTGCTCCACTTTTGCACTTGGGTTTGTCCCTCGTCAGCAGAGAACAGAGTATGCAGAGAAGACAAGCCCTGGCAGCTCTGGTTCAGCTGATGCCAGTGCACAGTGCTCTTTTGTTCACCTGCGGATTTGGGAACAAAAACAAGGTGTTGTTCCGTGTCATCCCAGGCCTTTTCCAGTGAAAGGATAACCTGCTTTCCAACTGCCATCTGTATCACACACAGAAGACTGATTCCCAACTAATTCTCACTAAGACTACAGCACTGGGAAGGGGGCTATGAGGAAACACATAGAGGGCCTTAAGCCGGATTGGTTTCAGCTTTACTTCAACGTATTTTGAGAGGGGGGAAAAGTGGAGCAACACTTTCCCCGGCAACTCTTGTCATCCATGAATAATGGAATACAGACATGTAGAAGGAGTGAGACTGAGATTCCAACCATGAGATTTTCATTTGAGTTTTAAGGCTGTCATCCTGCTGCATCTCCCTTGCTTCTCTTCATTAGATGAAAAACAAAAAACATACTTTAGTATGTAATTTTAGTTCAGTTTATTTGAACCAAATCAATTCATGTAAATGTAAAATGTACCCTGATCCCTGGTCAGCCGTTTTTGTATCATAATATTGCTAAAAGGCACACTGTTGTGTACAATGTCACACCTGATGGACAAAAATATCTGACAGCTGAATTCTGCTGGTTTGCTACAAGGGAAACTACAGTATAGTGGATTTATATGATATGATGTAGGTCAGCCACCTCATCAAGAAGTGATACTCGGAGATAGAGAGTAAGAGAGATTCAGTGAAAAAGCAAATACCAGACTACAATATTGACATACACCTACATCACTACTCTGTTAAAGATTACAGTAGTATGGTCCTATAATTACAAATTGCTAAGTTAGGTTTGTGATCAAATATATGAAACCAGCACGATGAATTATAACTCACATGATAATATGACAATTCTGCATTTACAAAAACATAGCCCACAATTTATCAACCTGGCAAAGAGGAGACCACACCACACCAATTTGCACATTGACAAGGCGAGCAAATCTAGCGAGCAACAGAGTTTCGTTGCAACAGGAGGCCGAGCAACAGTGCATTTTGCTGTGACAATGTGATGTGTCGGAGTGTGTGCTTAAGTGTACAGTGTCATTTTGAAAACTAAGCACGGAAAACACTTAAAAGATGACTCTGATTAAGCTGAGTGAATCGAAAGGGCTAAGTCAGAATATTGACAGCAAAGTAGCATGTTTAGACTTAAGAATGTGTGCAGCTCAAAGTATCACAAAAATGCCCCGTAACCCTTTAAGTTAAATAAGACACAACACACAGTGCTCGTCCACCTAGCCGGCAGGTGTCTGGGCTGGTAATTAGTACAGATTAAGGGTTGAAACCTGTTAATTGTAGTTGTGTTATAGAATCTTGAAGAAAACCTGACAAAATATTGGGGTTTTTACATCTCTCAACATCTCCCTTCTCCTTTAGACTGCATGTGGTCATCTGCTGGTTTGGACCCAGGAACTGCCTAACCAGTCCCCGCCCATTTGGACTCCTTTTATGGTCAAGTTTTTAGGGGAACCGACTTTACAATAAATAACACGGACCAGACCAGACAGGGATTGCACTGGTAAGCCCAGATTGATTGTGCTAAATGGAAGACGCAAGTTGACTTGGAGTAGAGCGTGAGGCTTCATTTTAACTAAGAGCAAAACAGAAAGCTTGGAAACATCTACAGGAAGTAGGCTGGAGAAGAGAAGAACGGAAGAACACGAAGAATCACAGAAAAGCAAGAAGTTTAGCACCTCAGTTTGCTTCTAACCGGCAGACACTGGAAATGCCAATTAGAGAAAATGAAAACAACGAAGGCTGATGATGGATAGCTCCTGTACTCACTGGTGGATAATTGAAAGCATTACTCCTTCAGTTATTATCAAAAATTCAAGCAGGAGACTGTCTGTCTCAGCTCACATACTGTGTTACAAAGCCAAAAGTATGAGTTAGGAATATGAATCAGAAGTGATTCAGTATTCAGTTATTCACAATAGAAATGATTAAGACGGGCTGAATCTGAAGTGGCTGCCACCAGCTGTCAACTTGATTCTCTACTTACCTTTCCTGTCTCTGTCTCTGTGGCTACTTTATTATTTCTGCTTATACTGTAGAGTCATTGCTTCTTGCCTTTGTGTTTTCTTCAGTTTTGCACAGTTTTCGCTTCAGTTTAGTTCCTATTCTTTCTTTGCTGTAGCTTTCGAGTGAAAAAGTCACTCAGCCTTGTTTTTAGAAGGACCCCAATGCATTTCTAAGTTTAGTCAGAGGAGCTCACTAAGAATCATTGAGTATTAAAGATGACGTTAAAACAAGAAAAAAAAAAACAATTGCAGCTTTTAGGTTTTCAAAAACGCATGCACACTGCCATACACACTCTTCAGTAACAAGTTAAATGAGCATATCAAACCACTCATACAAAACTCCCACCTACATTATTCACTGACATCTTCTACCTTTCTGGTAGCAGTTTCCTGTACTTTTGACACATGACAACTCCCCTTCCTCCCATCAACCTGCCTGCTGAATTTGACAGCTTCTTTAAAGACCTCTGTGAGTTGTCTTTTGATCATTAGAAACCCATTTGTCAAAAAGAATATGCATATTCTAAAAGGAACTAGGGGAACAGCTGTATCCCAAGTTTCCTGCTCTTGAAGGGGAAGCAGATAAAGCACTATAAGTACACTCGAAGTGGGGCGGTGTTGCCCATAAACTTTCAGACTTACTGCAAATGTGACTGCAAAGACATGTAGACCCATTCTTGCTTATTGGAATATGTCATCATTAAGTTTTTTGCAGATTCATGATCACATCGACTATGAATGTTTGAAGACAATTGCCAATTGCAGATATCCCTGTTGATTCATTTATTTTTTGAGCGATGAGGCAAATTACATTTATGTATAATCCACTGTCCTTATTACATTTAAAACTAGAATATAATCACCTGTGACAGAATAAAAAAGCGCTCGGCTCCTTCCAGTGTATTTTCTGTGTGACAGATGGCTCCTCCAGCGTTTGCTCACTACTCTTACAAACTGCTGAAAAGTCATGTTTCAGGAAGGGGACTGTTAACTAGGCATGAATAAACTCATGATGTAAATGAGCTCGAACCACTTCGTTTGTTGACTTAATTAGTGGTGCAACGTGAACTATGTGCAATCTGATAGAAACAGACTATCCTGTTTTTCTGACAAAAGCTTTACACTGCGCGCTGTGAGGAAAGTCAATGTTATGGAAATGTTTACATTCAGATAATTAAATATTACTGCATGCGCAAAATACTCCCAGCGTAGTCAGTCTCTTGAGGCCTTTTTCACGGCAGACATTTTGACTAACACAGGTGTTACTAATAACATTAACAATGGCTCCATTTTATTCAAGTTTCCCAGCAAGACAGTGAGTGTGACAGTGAGTCAGCATGTTTATTACCAGGACCCTGAGACAAAAGCAGCTGAATGGAATTCAGCCATCAGTCATTTTATTATTTATACACCTGTGCTTATCCTACCATGATTCGTCATAATGTCCCCTCTAAAAAAAGAGACTCAGGTGGTGGTGCACTGAGACCACAGGTGAACCCCGACAGCCCAATCAACTCAGGTAACAGCAATCAAACACACTGATGGAATGATGATCTGAAAATACAGACGATGGCCCCAACCTAACCTCTATGTCTTTCCTCAGGATTTTCTCTGCGCTTCATATCCATTTTTCCCACTTATTTCCTGTAAGGCAAAAGCTGTACTATATATGCAGTCTGTGTGGTGGGTTTATGAATACACTTGACAACGTGGGTTCACAGAGAACCATTAAGGAGACAAACAAGATGTCATTCATATACATTACACATCCTCGGGCTAATTTGGAGCTTGTAACTGAACCTGTCACACAGAAGGGTAATCATCATTGGATTTGCAACAAGCAGGCGCATTTCCTTCTATAAGCATGAAAAACACTGTGTACACCCAGGGTTTCAGTCACTCTTGTTTGTGATATTATATGAAAGTGACAATGAGCAAAACACCTGCAAGCACAGTTGGCATGCCAAAAGTTCAGCCTCATTTCAACATCAGAACATCGTGTGCATAGCAAACTATCATTATGCAAAACTGATTAAAAATCACTGCACCTGCAGTATCAGAAACTTTTCCGCTCTTCTCTAATTTCAAAATATGATCCACATATCTTCAAGCTGTGATTTTCTTTCAGTGACTAATCTCAAACTAAACCAATTCTACTATAACTTGGTGGATACTTCATTCGGTAGTCTTCTCATAAACATGCTGATGTTGTGGCAACTGGGCTCCGAGCACCACGGCCAAGAGCAATCTTTTAATAATTCAGAGTGCTTTTCACAATCTGCAGCATTGTGGCAAAGTGTTATGGTGCATCAACCACAACCTGACAGCCACAGAGGTGTGATGAGCAATACATTTGCCTCTTGGAAATGATTTGTTATGAAAATAAAAGGGTGTGAGGAAAAGCACCCGAGATATTTTGCCAACTCCCAACTTTCCGGCTCAAACATACAGGGGGAGAAATACGCAAATCAAACTGTAAATGCTCTGTTCAATAATAGAGGTGGGTATAGTGGTTATTATTTCCTTTACCTATACAGAAAAATGTCCAGGTCTTATTTTCCAGAGATTTCTCAGCAACCTCTTTACAGTCAATACAAAATGCCCATCAAATTTCATTAGAGCCTGTGTTCTGTGTTTACAAGTGGCCTGATTGGTTCATACTGGCGTTGTGGCAGCGGGGCTCTAAACATCGTGAGCAGGAATGTCAATGACCTGCCTGCAGCTAATGGTCCATGCTGTAATGAAACTGGGAAGATACTGACTGATTCCCTACACGCCTCCCACTGCTCTAATTTCAGACAAACCGATTTCAGTTTGTCTCCCTTCATTAGTCCTTGGCCCTGACCAGGCATCATGAATACGCCTGTTACAAAGAGGTGTGGGACATATAGTCTTAGACAGCTTGTTACAGTAGTCTTGGCTTTGGAGAGAAAAGCAGGTTAAAAAGGTGCACTGCAACAATGCCAGTGCATGTGTATAGAGTCTGTTTGTGTATCTGTTACAGCCCTAAAAGTGTAGAGAAGGATGATGAATGCTAGCGAATAATTTGGTGCTAAGAAGTGCCTTTAAATATGAGTATAAAAGCGGCAGGCAACTGATGGCATAAGGATGAAATTACCCTCAAGACAAGAGGGTAGAAAAGAGTGAAAATTAATCTGAGGATATCAATTTGAAAGAATTATTAAAAGTTGACATAAAAGTTCTGGATGCACTGCACCACACTAAGGCTGGCTCTTAATGAAGTACATAAAAGTGATATAAGAAAGTATACTTGATATATCAGGTTACACTCTCTATTTCTTTTTTTTTTTTAAAGCCCACAGAAGAAAATGCTGATATGGGACAAATGCCCAGAATATTCCTCAAAGCATCCCAAATGAAAACCCTAGGTCAATACCCTGCCAGAAAAAGGTCCAGTGCAGTTAGCTTCTTAAAATTAATTGTCAAAGAGAGAGCTAATATGGTGCTAATGCTAACTCACCATGTGCACTCAGCATATTCTGGAGATCTGAAGTGCACTGAGGACAATAAACTTTAGTAGATAAGTACTTCAAGGGACCTGTTAAAGCTGGGAGGTTCATTAGGAGACAAGTTTAACTCGAATTTGTGTGAGCTGGAACATTTACATAGAGGAGCCCTGTGTAAGCACAACAGAGATTCAACTGCTGACATAATAACGATAATGAAAACAGAATCTGGTTTTGCTTCTCCCCTCTAGGTTGCTTGTACTTATCCCTTCCTCTCTTTCCCTGACTCCATCTCTCTGGGGTCCAGACTGTATATCCAGTATTCCCACACAGGTCCTGCAGTGTCCTGCCTCCCCCCTCCTAAACATCTGTTCCCCGTCCTCGCCTTGTGCCAGGGGCAGCTACCCGCCAAGACACCCATACCACCAGCTCTGCCTCTGCCTGCCAAGCATCTGATCAAAGGGGACAGCTGTCGAACGGATCTGCATGCCAGCCAGCGCTGCTGCATGAATGAGAAATGGGCTGAGGACAGGAAAAAAAACAAACATCCAGCACCATCAGCACCACGGTCCCATCCAGAAAAATGAGTTGGTTAGTTAGTGGACAGCTGAGGCCATACAGCCAAAGCCTGGAGGAATCATCGCAGACTGTTTTTACCCAGAGCAAAGAGAATTAGCAGATCACAGATGGTGATGCTCAGAGGAGTATACGGACAAGAGGACAAGGAAATTAAATAGATAAGATATTGTCTGTTATCCTGTGAGAGGCTCATATACACAAGACAAGAAAGAAATTGTGTAGTTTTACTCTGCATGTAGAGCAGAGTACTGACAAGTGCAGGGTAGAGGTGTGATTGCCAATGAGGTCACTTATACTAAAAAGGAGGCGCCAGGGGCAACTGTAGGACAACCAAAGACGATTCAGGGTGTTCAAACAACAGAGAAAAGAGGGATTTTAACATATTCACTGTATCAGATGTTTTGTTAAACTCTTCGTAGGTGCCCCATATTTTCTGGCTGTGTCCTTTACAGGCACCCACGAGGTTACTTGCTCAGTTACTTACTTTTGCATGCACGTGCAGTTGGTCTTAAACACCTTGCAGCAAAAAGTTGTTTGAAGTTGTTTGTCTTGCCAGCTGGTCAGCTTCAATCTAAATTAAAATACATTAAATTAGCAGAGCACTTTCCTTGGTTACTGATTAGCTTTTAGATTGTTTTTTTTTATTTATAGGTTTATTTATTTATTATTTATTTAAGTGAGGTGATTTTTTTGTTGTTGTTTAATTTCATTTAAGCTTAAAAAAAAAGAAATAAACTGTTTATGATTGGATAATTTAGATTTAGTAATATGTGATTTTGGGAGAAGAGATCATATGGGGATCATCAGAAATAACACCACCAAATGGGTTTCCTATGAGATCTTTCTAATTGGAAGAAACAGGCAGTGTTTTGCTTAATTTCCTCCACCTATTTCTCCTTGACCTCACAAAGACTCCCTCTGCTTTCACTTCTAGTTCATTTAATTCATTTTGCTGAAAAATCAAATCATGAATCATTTTTAACTCGCTGAGTGAAAGTGAAGGATTAAAACTCCAGTAAGGTAAACGTCACATTTTTTTTCCCCCTCAGTAAAGTCGTCTCATCGTTCTTCATCCATTCAACAGTTTTTTGCTTGTTGCTGTGTAATGAGCATTACAGCCACAGGAGGCTGCCTTGACAGTAGGCCTTTAGTCTTGCTGTGATGATTAAGATTGAGGACATGGATCGCAGGATGCCGTTGATTAGAGTTCCCAAGGTTGAAATCTTCCGTGTAAGCAAGCATCTGTCGGGGGCTGCGCTGCACCTGTAGCTGAGCCCGACCTTTGACCTCCATTTGGAGGACTGGAGACTTTGACTCACATTGTTATCGTACAAAACATCCACTAAATGAGTTGTGTTCTTGTTGCACTGAAGAATGATAATCTTTGCTCAGTCTAGCAAGCAGACTCCACCTCACTGGAGCTCGACAGCCTAATGCGCCAAGTCACAGAGAGCTGCGTCTGAGCAGGATTAAAACACTTTGGAAAGACTGCTGATAACTCATGCGATCTTGTTCTGACTAAGTTTCACATGAGCATATTAGATTGTTACAGTAATTAAACCAAATCCACCTTCACATTTAGTTTAATTGTCACATTAATATTAATAACCCAATACCAGTGCACTTACACTTATTGTAATGGGATCCAGTAAAGGAATGAATACTACCTTCTCCCTCGTGTATGCTTGTTTGTTACTTACAAACTTCTTTGCCTTTACAAACAAGCTGAATCCTGCAGTGCATTACAGAAACGGGACTGGTGGACTAATTAAAGCACCACGTGGGAGCCCAGAGGATGTGAGCACACTGTCTATAAGAAGTCAGAATACGTACAGTAGCCCCAGATCCAATTAGGGTGCACTACCGCTTGGCTACTGTTGCATTATTGAAGCGTGTTATGGAACGGACTGAACCGTAGATGATAGGAAGTGCTATTAAAAGACGAAACTTGTCCAGCATTGGGAATGTCTGCATCATGTCAGTCA